TCTTTTATGACAAATACTAAAGTCTCATGAGCCTTACTAACCAGCGTAACTACAACCACAGTGGAGCTGAACCTGCTGAGGTACAGTCAGAGCAGGTCACTCTGAGGAGAGCCGCAGCGGCGGCAGGGACAGCGACTGAAGACATGATGTTATTCCTGCTTTAGGCACAATCTCATGCACTGCTTTGCATAACAAAATCCTCATATTCTGGATGAACAATTTGCTCTGAATGAGTCAAGTGGGCTGACTTCACCGGGCCATGACACAGCGACGCAGAAGTCTGCTCGGGCCGTGACGTGCACAGACACTTCTTAGAATGACTTTGCCAAAAACTATGGCATAACAACGCCGCCCTTGCACGCAGCTTCCCCATCAAGGTATCCTCACTAAAACATCCAGGAGGCCACACAATCTTACACCTTCTATTGGAAATACATCTCTTTTAATTTATATTTGTCCAGGATTATTGTTGCTGCTCCCCTGTGGGACGTAACCCTGTCTTTCATTGCATCACAGGTACTAAGTCATGTGCAGAGCTAGTAGGATGCTTTATTTTTTCTTCACTCATTTTATAAGGTTAAAGCGAGAGAACCTCAAACAGGCACTTGTATTGGGTTGCACAAAAGCAAGCGGTGCTCAGAGTTAATTAGCTATTCAGAAATCACACAGCTTTTGTAGCTGTCATTTCTCAGAATGAAAAGGAATATAATGATATATTGTAGAGATTATGAAGGAAGATTGGTACGTATCAGGGATATTACTTTAACTGAAAAAACATCAGAAAAATGTCCTAGTTTCTGTGTAGTTCCAAAGCTCAGTATATGGAACAAAACATCCAGGGGAATTAATTACTTTTTTGTTGAGGTTTTTTGTGAGCTTTTTAAATCCCAAGGAAATCTATGTGCAGGAGGGTATCAGTCATCTATAGACAGAACTACATAAAGTATCATTAGAGACCCCTCCAAATACATTGATTTTTTATCCAGCAGCAGTGTATCAATATTTTAACCTCTGACAACAAGATGTAGCCTTCATTATGAAGAATTTTCCTGTGGGTAACTAAACCACTGTGTATCAGGGAAAATAAATAGATGCCTCCCCACATCTCCTGCCTATGCAGAAAGTGAACTCCTCACACTGCTCTGGCAGAAGAGCGTTGGTAAGAAATTTAATGTATTGCTCCCTCCTCCCACCAGCAGCTGTCTTATCTAGCCCAACTTTGCATTATCTCAGCTTTTTTTCCCTTTTTTTAACCCCATGATGGGACGACTCCTGAGCTTTTCAGGCCAGGACTGTGTTCATTTCCAGCCTAAAATTTATTTGTGACTGGGTTATACCCATTTGTCTCTGTGCCAGCATCATAATTTGATTAAATAGCTCTTCTACCTGGCATTTATCTCATAGCAACCACATTCCAGTCCAGCTATCATTTAGCTATACTAAACAAACAAAGGTTTTTGGGGGCATGTCTCCAAGTGCCACCAATATGCTGGACCCCCTCCTAATTGGACCCTGGTGACCTGGTATGTTCAAGCACTGGGCTTCTCTGAATTGGGCATGGAAACGAGCTCACATCCCAGTAGATCTTGTGGCCAGAACATATACGAGTATCCCTTGAGCTACAAAGCCATTGAAGGTTTTTTTCCTCCACCTCCTATCTGGCTGGTCTGTTCTGAGCATCCTCTTCAATGTAGCTGTTGAGCCAGTTGGGTGTAAAGTCTGTTCTTACCAGTCTCCTGGCATACAATGGGCTGATAATATTAGGAGATAAGACTCAGTCTACACTAAAGATCCCGGTTTGTTTAATAATTTGTCCTCTCGAAAAAGAGAGCCTTAATTATAAGCTTGTTTTTGTTTATACTTCTGCTTGCATTAAACTAAAGGAATGCATTTCATTCAGCCTAAGGTAATTTTGCTCCTAACTGTTCTTCTAGAATATCTTATATTACTTATCAACACTGAAGCTAAACCAGTTCCACTGCTTGCCAATCTGGTGTTTCTCCAGTGCAGAAGTCTGCCACCTCTCACAGAAATTAGCTGAGCTCTGCACATTTACTAGCATTTTTATGATCTATATCTAGAGAGTTTAAAGTACTCCACAACGATACAACTCCCCAGCAATATTTACATCCCAAGCAGTGCTGCAGAGTCTCTACCACAACCAGTCCAGCCCTAGGAATCTAAAACAAATTCCCCGAAGTATCCCAAGAGAACCTCTTTCATGATTGCACTCTAAAGTGAGTCAGACCTAAAGATTCAGGTTTATCCAGCTCTCCTTATGCCTGCACAGTCCTTTTCACCATGAACACAAATAGTTACCCACTATAGGGTTTTTTTTTCCTTTTTGCCAATAGCCCTTTTTCTTCTGAACTGCTCTTTCTTCTCCACACCTGTGCCCCAGCCATAAATTGCTATTCCATGGTGTTTTTCTTACTCTGCATCATTTGATTTCACAGCTTGTGAAAGAAATACATGTTCTTCCATTTTACTGCCCAGCCCTCAGTCATTATTGTACAAGAAATCCCTCCTGTTCCTCACACCTTGTTCACAACCTGGATTAGGAGCACTCCTTTCATTACACTGCAAATAACAACGTGGGGTTATTTTGCTTTCCTGAAAGCCATTAATCTGAGCTACTTAGGGGCATTAGGAATGGAAAAGCAGCTCAGTTCTCTTCTGGATTTGCTGCAAACTTCAGCTTTTTAAACGTCTCACCCTCAGCCTGCAGCTGTCCTGAGAGCATGGTGGGTACCACGGGAGGTACCATATGGCACAGCAGCCTAAATGGCAAGGGTGAGAGTTGTGCATACACCATGGACTGCACATCATGGGTGACACTGTAGAGTAGCTGTGTCACTAGCAGGGTGTTCCTCCAGGTACAACTGCACCTCTATTTGGGCTTGCACCTTCTTGCACCCCTGGGCAGTGTGTCTCTGCCAGCAGACCCCTGGGGTCACCAAAACCCATGATGGGATGCAGTGCACTTCAAAGAGTCCAAGAGAAGCCTAAAAGCCCATGGTGGTAAGGAATGAGACACATCGAAAGGACTCGGAGAGCATGAAGGGACAATCGTGATGGCTCCATGTAGCTGCATCCAGGTGGGCAGAGAGCTCAGCTGGGAAGGGAGATGATAGGAGTGGAGGCTCACCACATGGATCTCCTTCCCACCATTTCTGTGAGGTGGGCTTCAGCCTTGGCAGAAGATGGTGGCAAAGAGTTGATGCTTCTCCACCCTCCCAGAGATGGAGGGCAGGAGGAAAAGTCTTTCCTGGGCTCCCCTCTCAAGGTACCCAAGTCCCCTCTCAAACAGGACCCTCTGGCTGGTTGCTGTACCTCATAGCATTTTATGGGGCACCACAGCCTAGAGTAGGAGGTTTGCAGTTTAATACAGGCCAAGTTAGAACATAAACCCAGCTTTGAGCTGGGCTTACATGTGATATGAAAATTGGTCATTTATTGCAGGGTCATTGACTTTCCTTTGGCGTGGATTAGTCACAGGAGATTTTTTAATGTGTTTATCAAGTGGATGGTGGATTCTTGTTTGTTGGTTTAAGTCAATAGGCATAGTCCATTTGGCAGAGATCATAAGAACCCAACATAAAAACCAGCAACAAGCCTTTGCACCTATTTTTTTACTAGTATTTCCACAGACTAATGCTCACTCTTAAAAATTACCCAAAAAAGGCAAGGATCGAGGCTTATTTTACTGAGAATGGAGAGCCCTGGGGCAATCCTGTTTTATGAATAAACTATGTTAACCTGTTCCCCAGCACTGTGAGTCAGGAGCATTTGGTGTCCAGTAAATTCAGATTTCAAGGCTATTTCAAAATATGTAAAGGAGAATCATGGAAATACAGTGACTGCTGCGACAAGCTCCTGAATGGGAGAACATCTGTTTAATCACACGCTCTTTCAGCATCAAGCAAGCAAGGTAGGACACGACAGAGGCTTTTGTAACCATGCCATGAACTTGTCTGCTCCCATCAAACTAAAGTAGACTCGTGTTGATTACAAAATAATCTGCAACTGAGTTGGCTCTGAAGGTCAGAGCAAAGGCCAGGCAAAGGTGAAATGAGATACAAATGCTGCTGAACTAAGTCCCATGATGACTCTCAGAACACATCTTGTATCACCATATGGACTAAAACCCACTTATCAGTCAACCCAGCGTCAATCACAGCCACATCCTTGAAGACGTGAGGCATTTGATGCGCTAAATACTTACAACGCCCAGCGATTTGTAGTCAGAGCAGTCAGTAAACACCCTTTTGAAGATGGCAGCTCTGCCAGTAGGAAGAGAATTGCTCGGTTTAGAGTTCTGAATGAAGCCCTAAAGATGCCGTAGTACACATCTATGCAAACCACATCTCCTCTTGCCGTAACATTACAGCCACCAATGTCGCCATCCAAATAGCAAATTCCTGCCTTTGTCAGTAGCTGCTTCTGACCCAGCACAGGCAGAAGCAGGCAGTGCTTGCTCTTCACAACACACACAGAAAGATATGTTAAATAAAATCTTAAATTCTGCCAAAGTTAATTCAGCTGCCAGAAAAGATCTTGTCATACAATATATGAATAACCTTTTCACTTCTCTTTCTCTTTTTTAAACCAACTCTGACACCTGCTTTGGGATTTACCTTTTCATTGTAACTTGGTTTTATTTATTTTGGTGTAGAAGCCCAGGAGCATTACTCAATAAAAAGCCAGTTATTACTATTGCAACAGAGAAAATAGCTGAAACGCCTGGCAACATATGTATTAAATAATTTGAACCTTAGACAGTTCAGCCAGGCATTTATCTATCACATGAATTGTGCTTTTCAGATTAGCATAATTTGCAACCTTTGCCTTGCACTCCTCCTCCTTCCTGACAGGAGGACAGCCCCTAAATCATATGATTGGACACAAAAAGAGAGCACAATGTGAAACGCCTCTACTTCCCACAGAGCTGGGACAAAAACTTCAAGACAGAACTCGAAGCCAACCAGAGAAGAACCACGATGGACCTTCTACCCTCCTTCACTACAGAGACCTGGGCCCTTTTGCTTCTATTCATAGCCCTTGTGGTAGCGTGAGTAAAATATTCTTTATTGGTTCTTTGCTGATGCCGCTTTCCTCTTCTTGCCAATGTTCATTTTCATGCAATCATTTTGCAAAAAAACAAACAGGTAGGCACGATTTCCAGATTTCCAGGCTCTAACTCTGGGAAACAGCAGTGTCTAAAGACCATACAGGCAAGGTTTGGACTATTCCTGTTCACTGCTACGATCTTACTGCTAAGCATCAAAGCAATAATTTAATATTGGTGCTAGGCATTTATTACCAGCAGGGTGCTGGCTTCAGGAAGGATCATGATCCATTAGGATATTTTCCACTGAAATGGAGTGTAAGGAAAGGTGTACCTCTCCCTGGCTGAAGTTGTCCTATGGAGGGGAGCAGGCAACAGATGACCCTACTGCATGACCTGCCAACGTGGAGAGCAGCAGAAAGGCATGAGAAAAGCAGCATTTATAGGGTCGGTTCTTAATCACCCTGGCTCCTGCTGTGGTGCCCAGGTAAGATGCTCCATGCATGGGCACCCAGCTTAGGAGAGACGCATTGCAGAAGGCAGATTTGCCACACACTTACAGGGACAGCATCCCATGCCCGTCCCCACCGCCCACCCTTGCTGGAGGAAGAAGCGAAGCCCAGAGCAAGGTCAGCTCTCTGCTCCTGGCTTTGCTGACAGACTCCATCAGGCAGAAGTGTATCCTGCTGCTTCAGAGGAGCCATGCTAGAGAGAAAATGCTTTTGCCCACTTTACTGATGCCATCCAGCGCTGCAGCATAACTGGGCTGGCTGAAAACCCCCTTCTGCTAGGACACACAGCGGCTCCGCTGGCAGCCCCTGCCAACAAGGCTGGACTGACAAACTTTGTAGTGCTGACAAGCCCTAAGGCAGAGACAGCATGTTGCGAGCCATAAACCTTAATGATTAATGTGGTGCACACGAGTACAACCCATTTGTCTGCCCTGGCAATGCTCCAACCCTGGCAGTTCAATAAGCTCCGAAACTTTTAGCCCTGGTTTTCCGAACCCTTTTCTGTGATTTGTTTCACTCAAAAGCCCGTCCAGGGCAGACTCTTAAAAAAACCAAACCCAAGCCACACCCTCATTGTTGATCTAAACTCTCGTATTTCAATAACTCTGTGGCTACCTCAGATTGCTGGTTAGCACGCTCTCACCTCCTGCAGCCACTTGCAATTTTATTGTGGTAAAAGGGATGAAGTCCAGATCTTTGTGCTCTGCTCTCTGAGCTAAACTCGACATTTCACTGCCCATTAGCACATGGAGGCTCAGATGCTTCTTGTCCATCTGGGGCAACGCTGTTCCAGTTCACACATGAAGGAATACCAGGCATTTCTGGTTCACATCCATGGTGAGAAGTAATGATTATTCTCTGTCTTAACACTGAATGGTCCTTCTCAGCCTGCAGAAAACAGTGTCACATTTTAGTCATAAGAGCATTAGATTGCAGTTTTTTGGCCATGTTTCAAATGGATTAAGCCTAGCCTATGTTCCTATAGCATTTCTGTGCTTTGTAACCAGCCCAGCCTGGCATTTCTCAGTCCTCTTGCAGCCCTAGCTGCCCATAAACATTAAAAATGAGAATCTACAAACATTTTGTAATTAGTACTGAATTAACCTTTGATAGAAGAGGTTAAACATTGACAAACTGAGCTCTGTGAACCCTTTTGCACCTGCAAACGCCCTATTCCCTGGTTTTTGCTTGCCGTTTGGACCATAAGATGAAGTCCGCTTTTGTGTTCAGGCAGAACCTGCAACGGGGGAATTGATCTTATTTGGGGTCCCCCAGGTTTAGAAAAGTGTTACTGAAGGCAAGGGAAACCCCACTAAGTCTCAGCCTAGGCCTTGGCTTTTCAGGAAAGCATCCCCAAGATGCTGGCTGAGCAGCTGTTACCACGAGCCCCAAAGAGGATCACTGATAGCATCCCTCTGCCAAACCTTTGCAGTTTTACATCCTTTCTACAATGAACCTCTCACTGGGGAGGCTGCAGCTACTAACTGAAAACAAATATTCTGAGGAGGTCTTTCAAAGCAGCCAAAGAGAAGCTTCAAAGGGCTGCAGCCCAGGCCCTTGTCGAGAAACAGAAGTCCCCAAGGTAGAAGTAATAACTTTACAGCTGCCAAAAAGGGTGCTTCAGAGGAAAGAAATCTACAAAGCTGTCAATAAAATCTAAAGAGAAAACCATCAAGATGAGACCTCCTGTTGCACCGCTGAGCTAATGCCAGGCTGAGGGGAGGGAGAACAGTGAAATTAAAGTGAAGCTTGACAGAAACCCTGTTTGGGACAGCACTTCTGGCAATACTTTGATTTCTGTTCAATAAAAACATGTAAGCTCTGTGTTCCTTCTCCCAGCTCCCTTCTCTGCCTCTCCTTTGGTTGGCAATGGGGTCCTCTTGACTTTTGCTAAAGGCTTTAGAGTTCTACTTCCACCAGAGCATCTATGCCTTTAGGAGACAGCTGCGTATACATTAAGGTGATCTCTCTGAAGCTCTGTGTGATATGAATGAGCCTTACCATATTTATTAAGTAGTTTTTTTTACAGGTCAATTTTCTGTTGGGCCACTTGTTCCCAGCTCCTGGATCCTCTACTTAGAGCCAAAGGGATGCTGATGCAGTCTCTGAGTTCAGGAAAACTCACACCTCCAGTGTCATGGTGATATAGCACCCGGTTTGTCTTTTCTATCCCACAGATACGGGACCTGGCCATTTGGTTTGTTCAAGAAGTTGGGTATCCCTGGGCCAAGACCTCTGCCTTTCTTTGGGACATGCCTGGAATATCGCAAAGTAAGTGACTGAAGCCTTCCTGGCTCCAGAAATATCTGCTTTTGCTCATACAGCTGTAGCTGAACAGATACATGGCCATGATAAGTTATCTCCAAATGCCAAGCTCTGCTCTAACGCGCAGATTGTGCAAAGGCCAGCAGGGGATAAGGGCTCCATAACACAGACCAAGCAAGCACTTGTGGGTGGCTGCTTATATATACATTTACACAATGTATATATATATACATTTATGCTGTCCTTCACAATGTTTTTGGAGAGGAGGAGAACCCAGAAGGCAGCTCTGGACATCAGTTTACAGATGTCCCTCCCAACCCACCATCTCCAACATCACCCCCTTCACTGTATCCTCTCTGAGGTTATTTTAAAATTGCTTTCCACAGGGTTTCTTGGAATTTGACAATATGTGTTATGAGAAATACGGGAAAGTCTGGGGGTGAGTATGAACCACTGATCTCTTCATAAAATAAGACCAGAATCTGTACAAAGGGGTGAAAAATTTCATTATGAAAGCTCCCTTTTCTCTACCTGCACCCCTGACGATCCCAGCAGGATAGGTACAGCAACGAGAGGGTGTTTGTGGTGGCTTACATTAAATCCTGATAGTTTCCGGGCTGTGCCTGTGTCATGCTATATGGAAACTTCTTTGACCTAAGCTATGAAAACCATTTTAAAGCCAGTAACAAAAGGCCCTTACCTGCCCCCAGCAAAGTCAGTATTAAAACCACTATTTACTTAAGACTGAATCTGGAACCGGGAAGTCGAGTTCCTCTGGTTTACCAAGGGCAGAGGAATGTGAGTGACTCCCAGCACAAAGAAAAAGCATATCCAAAGTCTGGCAACTTCCTTGTGCTGCTGGCCCTCACCTCCAGCAGGAGGTGGTGCAGCTATCCTTGCCCTGCTCTGGATATCTCCTATGGCTTTTATCACTACTGTTATAACTTTGCGTACAAACTTGCATGCAGGTGGTGCAGCTATCCTTGCCCTGCTCTGGAAATCTCCTATGGCTTTTATCACTACTGTTAAAACTTTGCGTACAAACTTGCGTGTATCCTTCATAATGCATCCATTGGTCCCTATAGCAACTTTAAAAAAATGGAGTCTGGAAAAGGTATCTCAACATAAATGGGGAAAGTGCATAAATCTGCTTGATCTCCATCTGCTCCAGGAAAGCACTCCGAACTGGCAGCTTGAAGAGACAAAAGCAAGGACTGAGTTTCATCTCTAAGGATATTTCAGTGCTGTCAGCCCAGGTCTCTAGACACCCAATTCAAGAGCCTGAAAGGGGTCAACCAAGTTTCCCTCTAATACTGTAATGTGTTTAAGTGCCTGGGACACCCAATTCAAGAGCCTGAAAGGGGTCAAACAAGTTTCCCTCTAACACTGTAATGTGTTTAAGTGCCTGCAAAAACACAGAGTCAGGGGAGAAAGTGAAGACACTTGCTTCATTTAGTATCTCATCCTTTGAGGGATCGAGCCTTGCTCATTTCCCAGTGAATTTGGAAGGTGTTTAGCCCCCTTTATCATTTACAAAACTAGATGGAAGGAGGCCTGGGAGTCCTTTGCCATCTCTAGTTTCTACATTTCTGTACTTAGGCATCTGCAGAACAGCAAGGCTGGTGATGGAGGAGCATTTGTTCAACACATTTTGTTTCATGGGCATCAGCCAAGCCTTGAACTTCAGCTATCTGGGATTGTTCATCTGTCTCCTCTTTTTGCTTCCCAGGATTTATGATGGCAGGCAACCTGTGTTGGGTATCATGGACCCCCAAATCATTAAATCTGTGCTGGTTAAAGACTGTTATTCCACCTTCACCAACCGGAGGGTAAGAACAAAAGCATCGTGATGTACCACAGAGTCCAGAAAATGAAGTCAAGGAGGATACAAGCATATAGCAGGGCTTCCCATAGGGGATGAGTGACTGCACTATGGGGATTACTGTAAATGGCCACTGTATGTCACTGTTCCCCTGCCTTACAGCCTGGGGACTGCAAACCCAGGTTGGCAGAAGAAGTTGTTTGCCTGCACATCAGACAAATCACACCTACATATATATATATAGGGATGAACTGGAGTCTGTGTGAACACGCAGGAAGCTGCAAGGGTCTGGCTAGCACATGTGCCACCAGCTGGGATGCAGGCTCTGGGTGGCACCATTCAGTGTGGGTACACAAAGACATATGGGTATGCTGGGTTACTTGCTCTGGGTATGGAAAGGGCATTTTGCATGTCTTGAGAGAGGCTGTTTGTAAGGACCTTAGCCTGCTGCTGGTGGCAATGCCCCTGAAATAGCCTGGGCAGGGGCTTTCATGCTGCATTACCATCCCTGCAAAGAAGCTGCTATCTTTTTGGGGTTAACACCTTGCCTTTTTCCCCCCACCAGCATATAGATCTAGCAGGGGAGCTGAAGAGTGCTGTCTCATTAGCTGAAGATGAACAGTGGAAAAGGATTCGCACTGTGCTCTCTCCAACCTTCACCAGTGGGAAGCTAAAGGAGGTAAAACACAGAGGAGCAGGTACAAACTAAATCAGAAAGTCAGCAGACAGTGTTTTTGGGCTGAGATTGTCACAGGGGCCCAGTTTCTTTAGTCAGAGCCTGGCAACTAATCCAGCTTGTTTAATTTATGCCTAATTTAAAACAAAAAAGGCTTAAAATAAAAACTTAGCAGAAATATGTTATTTGTAAATATTCATGAAACTCCCTGTAGCCTTCATAAGCCTGTCTTAAAGGAATAAAATGTACTGTACTTAAGTGACCATCTCTGGTTTGTGTTACAGATGTTCCCTATAATGAAGCACTATGGGGAAGCTTTGGTGAGAAATGTTCAGAAGCGAGTGGAAAAGGACAACACTATACCTGTAAAGGAGTAAGTAGCTGTTAGGAGCAGCAGGCTAAGCAGCAAACCTTGTTAGCAAGTGCTGCGGTTCATTCGTTACTGGCAATGCAGATTGCTCTCTGGGTAAATGAGAGCTCTGAAATGAGGAACGGGACTTGCTGAAAGCCTGGCTGGAAATTTGAAAGGGAAAAATTTAAGCTGAGAAGTTAGTGAAACTTCCTAGAGGCAAGAGAGCCAGAGAGAAGCCTTCTAAAGGTAATTAGTTAGGGAGAAAAACACTCCAGCACAGCTTCATGAAGCCACAGATCCAAAATAATCCCAGACCCACCAGGAAAACCCAGATTTCCCTGTATATATTCAGTCTGTGCAGCACCTTCTTATACTTCAGGACACTGGGTTTGCTGGCCTTTCTGGCCACACAGAACATTGAGATGCTCGTCCATCACTTCCCTCATTGCTGGAGCACAGGTGCAGAAGGGGCAGCTGCACACCAGCAGTCCCACATCAGCATAGCTTTACCCCACCAAAAACCCCGTAAAGAGGGGGCTTGGACAGTTGTAATACTATAGGGCTGTGCTGGGTTGAACAAGACCATTTTCATGGCGCGTTAGAAGCAAAGTGTGTTACCACCCCTCCCCATGATGCTAGCACACTCAAGAGCCACATGCTGTCCTTGCCGTAACCTGCTCATGTAGCACCATGCTGTTTTAAAATCCTCAGAAAAGCTGCCCGATTTCAAAACCCACGCAGGCTTAAAACTAAAGCTCTCTAAAACTCTATCCCTTTCACTATAAGTGCTTTTCTGTTACCATATATCCAGTTTTCTTTTCAAAACCAGGGCAGGGCATCTTAAGATAATGTACATTTGAATGTCACATAAGCATTAAGAAAGAAATACATTCACATGGTCAACATATTTAACCACAGACTATCCTTCCCATCTTCTCTCAGAATCTTTGGAAGCTACAGCATGGATGTTGTCACCAGCACTTCATTCGGTGTGAACATGGACTCCATGAACAACCCCAAAGACCCCTTTGTCAGAGAGATGCAGAAGCTGGTCAAGTTTGACTTTTTTGACCCACTCTTCATCTTGTCATGTAAATGACTTTGTTTTTTTTTTTTTTAAATTGAAAACTTCATTGGTTCATACTACTAAAGCAGGCATAGCAGAGACTTGTGCATCCTATACATTAACCAGTCAACTATTGCTTAAGATAATTCACTAGCTAGGATGGAGGTGTTAATGGCTCTTGTTGTTGAAACTCTGGAAGAGTGATGGGTAAAAAAATCCTCCATTTTTGGCACCTGCAATGCAAGAAGCGTACGAACATCCCAGCCAATATCCAAATAAATGCTGGGAAAGGATTCTGGGGTTGAAAAGCAAGTTCAGCTATGAGGCTTGAGGAGTGATGCTGTCTGAAATGCATTTTCTGTAAGAGTGGGGACTGTAATTAGATACAATTTCTTAGCAGTGCAATAGCTTTGCAGTGATGGTGATGGACCTTAAAATCACTTGCAAAATTAAATCAAGATTAGATACCTTGCTAAAACACAGGGAAAGTTGTCATCTGTGCATATAGGAGGTTTTGGTGCTGTAGATTTTATCACTCTATGCACAAGCTCAAGATGCAATCTCTATGATGAAGGAAATGCTCTGAAGGGGACTTCAAAATGTTTCTATGAGCACAGCATGGCAGTGAATAGCTCAGCCTGAAAAGAGAATTCAGAAGTTGCAGTATTTCTCTTGTGAGCCACATTCCTGTTGTAATGCTGTACATCATACAGAAGTAACCTGTCCTTAGAAAAAGAAGGTGGGATATACTTTGGTCATCTCTTAAAGCAATGATTATACCCAGTTGACAGGAACTTGGGAGAGGATTGTATCAAGGAAAACTATCCCAAGGGAAGGAGAAAAAGGAAAAAGGCAAAGCCCAGGCGTCTCCCAAGTAAAGAAATCAAGAAAGGAAATAATCTCTCAGAAGCATCATTACTTCCTCAGTAGCAACCATAGCGATCTTATGAGGTGGAGTTTATTTACAGTGTGAGATTTTATTCTCAATTTGTTTTTCAGTTGTGTTCCCGTTTCTTACTCCTCTTTTGGCCAAGATGAACGTAAGCTTCTTCCCCAGTGATTCTGTAGATTTTTTCATGAGATCCATCTCCAAAATTAAGCATGAACGTGAAAAGGACACTCACAAGGTAAGCGAGCACAATTGTGGCAGAAAATGCACTCAAGAAAAATATAATTATGGGAATGATATCAAAGATGAAGCTAAAGTACAAGGACTTCGCATAACCCTCAAACTACTTAGGCGTAAATGCTTGATTTTAACACTGTCAGAAAAGCCTCACCCGACCAGTTCTGGCAGAGAAAGAAGTGGACTTTATACATCCATGGTCTGAAGCTAAATCCAGATAAAGGCTCAGTAGAATTGAATTAAGCTTGGGTTTGCAGAACTTGTAGTAAGTCAACAAACTAAGAGACTCCCTGAAGAAGATTAGGCAGAGGATAAGAGAGCAAAGCAAGCAGCACACGAGCAGCAATACCTCCTTTCAGGGTTGCACCTTTCCCTCAATTTTCAAAAATCTGAAGCTGCTTCCTGGCAAAATTCTACCTCAGAGTTTGAATCCCTTTCCTGAAATTCCTTTGAGACACTGCTCTCCCACCCAACAGCTTCACAAAAAGGACAGATAGGTTTCCAAGAGAGAATGCAAGTGTTTTGTTTTACAACACAGAAGTAATCTGCATTTTGAGGATGCTTTCATTTTAAATATCATGCTTAGGCTATGAAATTTGCTTATCTGACCCCTCCCCGAGGGACCTATCACCAAAGAAACTCCTGCTTTTCTTCTCAGGGCAGAGTAGATTTTCTGCAGCTGATGATCGAATCCCAGAACACAAACAGTCATGGGAACAACGACGCAAATTACAAAGGTAACCACATCCAAATAGTCATCACAGGACCAGGGGCCATGGGAGTGAGGAGAATATGGGGAGCTGTTTCCTAGAGAAAGGCTCAGAGGGTCACCACCATCTCCACCGACCCCATTCCTTGCTGAGACCACCAGCCAACATTGCTTTTGCTCATGTCCCCACACCCTCTCTCCTCACAGCCCTGACCCATCAAGAGATCCTGTCACAGGCCTTCATCTTTATTTTTGCTGGGTATGAGCCCACCAGCAACACACTTGGCTACCTGGCATATGAACTGGCCATGCATCCTGATGTGCAGCAAAAGCTCCTGGAGGAGATCGACACCATTTTACCCAACAAGGTAAGAGGACCTTGGGTGATGACGAAGACCCTCTGACCCTGCTGTCCTTCCTGTTCAGTCAAGGCAATAGGAAATCTCTAGCTCCTGAGATCTTCCTACAGCTCTAAGGGACGCACACACTGAGACAACTCAGCCCCGCAGCGATGTAATTTTGGCAGCTGAAACCTTACAGGCCCCACTGCACAAGTGGAGGTGGATTTTCAGTCATTTCCATCACTCAGTGATGGAAAATGAAACCAATTATGTAATTTCTACCTTGCGTTTTGTTCTTTAGAGAGTTTGAGACACAGTTGGGGACATTCTGGTCTCAGCAGTCATTTTAGGAAAATCAAATCCTGATGCCAACATACCTGGTCACGTTTCTCCCATCATCCTATAGGCTCCTCTCACCTATGAAGCCATGATGCAGATGGAATATCTTGACATGACAGTGAGTGAAATCCTTCGGTTTTACCCCATTGGAGGGCGGATTGAAAGAACCTGCAAGAAAGACGTGGAAATAAATGGAGTGACCATTCCCAAAGGAACCATTGTCATGATCCCACCCTATACCCTGCACCGCAACCCCGAGTACTGGCCAAACCCAGAAGAGTTCAGACCAGAAAGGTACAAAAATCATAATGAAAGGGAAGAAATATCATGCTGCTTTTTCCTCATGTAGTAATTAAGTATTAATCTCTGATTAGCTTCCTAATGGTATTCTTCGTATCTTTTCACAAACAATAGCAATGAGAAATTGAGGGCTCATGGGAATGTCGATTTAAGAAGAAAATTAGCTTTGCACTTAAAGCAGGGTTTCAAACAGCATAATCTTATTGGGAGAATAACACTGATATCTCACACTATCTTGTACACAGTTTTTAGGCTTGCTGACAGGGGGTAGATGGCAAGGTTTTTTTTGTAACCCCTAGCATCTTTATAATTGTCATTGCTAAACCCATTTTCTTCACAGACTTTGCTACAAAATATGCCGGCGTTGGTCCTTCCAAAGCTGCCTTCCCTCCTTGTTTTCAAGGAAGTGATAACGTGTTCCTAGTTGGTCATTTTTATAATTGGTATCTACCTCTCACTCTCAGCAAGGTTAAAGCCATAGGCTCCTCCTAACCAAGATGATTTCTCTCTCGCTGAATACAACAGATAGGAAATATCAGTCATTTTGGGAGACCACGTAGATTTTCACATTGCTCCTAACTTCTACTGCTCCAGACGGACAGAATTAAACTCAAACACTGAAGTGGGATCTCACCTCAACCTGGATGAGGGCTTTAACACAGCGCTCGATTGCTCTACCTTAGCAAAAACCCAAATAAGCCTCTGCAGAGCACCAGCAAGAGATCTCTGAATAAGCAATACAGATATGCAGCTTTTTGATTTTTGCTGCCTTCATTTCTCGTTCATGTCATTATCCAGGTTCAGTAAGGAAAACAAAGAGGCCATAGACCCGTATACATACCTGCCCTTCGGGGCTGGTCCCAGGAACTGCATCGGGATGCGGTTTGCTCTCCTGACTCTGAAAGTTGCCATCACCATCCTATTGCAACACTTCACCTTCCAGACCTGCAAAGAAACTCCGGTGAGGACCACACTATGCCTTGATGTTTGCACATGAAGTGCCAGGTGCCCGGTGTCTCACTGTGGGCGCTAACACCAGGTGCTTTGTGCTTTCAGGCACCACAGGTCAAGTGATGTCCAAACCACGGCCAAGTTTCTTTTCATTTAATCTCTACTCATTTGTCTATCTTCAAATGTGTTTTCCTTCTTCTTGTTGCAGATCCCCCTCAAGCTGTCTTCACAGGGACTCCTAACTCCAGAAAAGCCGATTATCCTGAAGTTAGTCCCCCGGACCAGCACCGCACGTGCAGAAGCATAAAACCCAGCCACGGCAGCAGCAGTTCTGTAGTATCTAACGAGTGCTGTGCTAACAAAGGGATCATACATCACGAGAAATCTCTCCTATGCTTTACAGACACAGAAGAGCAGCTCTAGTTAATTTTGGAAGCAATTACTACATACTTACTAATAAACATAGCTGTCAGAAATGTAACGTGGATCACTGGGCAGTGACAATGTACAGTCCCCTTAATTTTGATTGCAGAAAAACAAGAAATAAATCCAAATGAGAAGCTGATCATCCACCGCTAAGGGGACTTCTCCATCTGGAGAGAAGGAATTACTGTCGCATCCAAGAGAAACAAGGTGTGATGGAAATTCAAATTGCCAGACCTTGCTGGGCAGGGACGGGTGATGTTCTTCTTGGTGTATTGATGCTTGAAATTTTGTGTTATAATTGAGCCGACTGGTGTGAGACTATATCCTAGTTACCAAACCTCTCTGTGCCATGTGTTAATTAACCTAAAGTGTGTACAAATACTGTCATTAAAAATGTTTGAGAGCTGTTCTGTGTTGTGTATAGCGGTTGATCACTTCCTATTTAAAAACCGTATTCAGCCTCAACCCTTGAAATTATCCATGTACATTGCTTTCCACTTAATTTAATGAAACTGATCCTTCATTTAATGCGATCAAACCCTCCCATTTGTACAGTATTTTACAAACACTGTAACTCCCACCTCTTAGTTTGATTAAGAG